TAATACAAATACTTTTTATGTAGGAGTACGTAAAATTTTCCAGTTCTCTTGTACAATATGTGGAGGATGCTATAAAATAAGCATTGAGAACTTAGTAGTGTAGCATGGATGTCACTTGACTTTTTATATGTAAGAAGTCATTCTTTTTTACATGATGATATGGTATTATTTAATCGTAAAAACGTGATAATGCAAAACTGTTCATTTCCTTTGTCATCATCTAAAAATCATCACTAAACATAGAGAATTTTATTTGATTAGAAAATCTAGATGAATTAAGCAAGTTGAAAGTTGATTATGAAGATATTATGTGTTATAGCAGTCATCAATTTATTCCACACATATGGATGGTTTAACAATCTCCAATTTAAATTAATTTTTCTAAAAGATAATCTTTAAATGATGATAAAAAAAAATGAATGGTCGAATTTTGATATTTATACAGTAAAATAATGTCATGTAGTTGTCATAAAAGGAAGAATGACTCTTTAGTATTGAAGCTTTAAGTTAGGTAGGTTTAAGAGAATGAGATCCTCATCGGATCCTCTTTGTGAGGATTCAAAAGATCCTTTAATCGTATTTGTTTATCGTAAATCGTACGGTCAGTTTTTGTCAGGTACTATTTGTATTTAATTTTAATTAAAATTTTTAAATAATTTATGACCACATGATGAATGATGAATGAACACGATTAGAGAATTCTCGGAATCCTCACAAAGAGAATTTGGAGAGGATCATCATTCGGTTTAAGAGTCTTTGGGGATCCCCTATTGTCAATGATTGTTCCCTCCAAAGGCTCTGCATTGGAAAAATGGTTGTTGAGTCTTGACTCTTTCATTTACCCCAGATAAGAGTACTGACTTTCGCTTTGTATTGACATTTCAGGCCATTTCACTTTAGTTAGGTGACACCATTTTTTTTTTTTTTACCTTCAGAATAATGGCATTTGAAACTTTTTTTATTAAGAAAAAAATTGAAGTACCAAAGAAGTGGTTGTTGGGGATGGACTTCCTTGCCCTCCTTAAGTGTTTTTGTGTTGTTGGGGGTGTGGTGGGATGACGTCTGGCCTTTGTGGCAATGTCCTTATGTTGTTGTCCCTCACACCTTTCCTCCTGAAGTGTTTTTGTGTTGTTGGGGTGTGGTGGGATGCCGTCTAGCCTTTGTGGCAGTGTACTTATGTTGTTGTTCCTCACATCTTTCATGTGTTTTGTTGTGCTTGCCCCTCTTGTGGGCGTTCTTTGTATTGTTGGTTTGTGCCCTGGTAATGATAATTTCCAGTCTTCCAAAAAACATAAAAGAAAAAGAAGTGGATGTTGATACCCAATCACACATTATTAAGGTCCCGTTTGAAATTGTTTTTTTTTTCCTAAAAACTGTGCCACTTCAAAGTGAAGCACTACAATCAGTTTGGTAAATATTTATAGGCTTACTTATTTTTAAAGTTTCTCACAACGACTTTCAAAAATAACAAAACACCGAAGGATTATGAAAATTTCAAAAATGCCCCTTTTATCTTTCTAAATGATTTCATCTAAAAATTAACTTAGATAACTATCATGCATATTTGTATTGTAATTGAGCCAACAAAGAGAAGGATTGCCATTTGCACTTATTGCTTGTGTATTTGGCTATTTGAGAATGTTTAGCGACCAAAAAGGAAGATTACTTCTTCAAAAAGACAAAGAAGAAGAAACTTAATAGAAAATTATTGAAAAATATGCACATGATTTGGATAAATTAATCTTAGTAGCAAAACTATAGAAAACTGGATTGGATTTGTTATAAGAAAATTTTTATTTGAACTTATATTGCTTCACTTGCATCTAATTTAACTATTAGATGCGAATTATCTGTTTTACACGATTGTACAATTACCATCAAAGATGATATGGGATTGAAACTAATTTATTTATTTTTTTTAATTTTTTATCTATAGACCCATATTCTATAATTGGCTCACCATGACACAATTACATCACCCCTTAAACCAATACCGTTAGCAATTTAGCCCAAAATTGAGTTTTCCATTGAGGATCCGTTAAAATACAGAAATTACATCACCCCTTCCTCTAGCTAAATAGATCCGTATTTCCCTGATCTTTTGACGGCGGCAACTTCCGTCAGTCTTCATCCCTACCTCTCTCAATGCTCTCCACCGTGTTTACGGTAAAAAGAGATGCAATATATCCATTTCATATCTCTTCGATTTCTTCCATTTTATTTTAGAGAAAATTAGAACGCCCTGCACTTTTTCTATAGTTTTAAGATTAAACATTTATTCCGTTTAAAGATTTGATTAAGGTGCTTTAACCAATTATTACCTCAATAATTTTCTATTTATTTCATTTTCATGTCATTAATTTAAATGCATTTATATAGAGGTGTGTAAGGTAGCTTAGCAACTAACTGCCTATAATATAGGAATTTAATTTCTTCAATACGCATTAAATGACTTTTTCAATAAATAAGATAGAAAAATTAATTCAACTAATTCCTCATTATGAGTATTAAAAAAAAGAACTTTCTATTGAAAACATCTCAGTGCAAAAAGTCATAATACATTTTTTCTTAAGAAAACTTAATTAATTAATTAAAATTTTACGTATATATACATAAAAACTATACTTAAACTTATGGTACATTTGAGAACAAAAGTACTGACTTTTGATACGTTTAGATTCTAAATGTATCGAGAAATCAAAAGTACCGAAAATCCAAATGTACCATAAAACCAAATGTGTCTTCTTCTCGGAGAAGATGACTGCACACGAAGAAGAAAGAAAATAGAGACCCTTCCAGTGTCTCTGCTCCTTGCTTCTGCCATGGTCTAATCCATCGGTGCCACCCATTTCTCCTCCATCTGTCGTCTGGCGGGGCAGTACATAAGCCCAAATTTCCCCAAATTATTTCAACCACCTTAGTAATTTTTCTTATGGGTGAAATTTCCTACATAAGGTTAGTAAGATGGATATGATCTGTCATGGGTTGGTGAAATTTGGGGGTGGAGCTGCCATGGCTTCGGGAGGCGGTTGGTGGAGGTATGGCAGTTGTGTTCTTAGTGAGAGAGAAAGTGGAGGCGGTTGGTGGAGGTATGACAGCTGTGTTCTTAGTGAGAGAGAAAGTGGATGTTTGGAAACTAGTAAAAGAGAAAAATGGTGTGTTTGGCTAGAAAGATAGTGAGAGTTTGGGGAGAGTTTTATTTGATCGGTGTTTTAAATTTAGTGGTCCATATTAGATAATCAATAACTTAGATACTTCCTAATAACTTATGAAACCTCGTAATGGACGCTTGAATTATGATTTTATAATTTGTAATATTGTTTTGCATATGATTTTTGAATGAAATGTATTATATTTAAATTTTCAATGTTGTTTTTGTCTATAAATGTTTTGACCTTTATTATTGGGACCCTCCGAGTTTAAAATCCTGGATCCCCCACTGCATATATATATGTGTGTGTATATATATATATATATATATATATATAATAGAGGATGAAAAACACAATGAGTACACATATAACAATGCACGCAGACAAAGCACACATCCACTATAAAAAAAATAATAAAAAAAGGCAGAGAAACGATAGTGCAAGGAAGAGATATGAGGCAGTTAAAACCCTACCCAAAATTTGGATTTGGGAGTTGAAAAAAAAAAAAAAAAACAAAAAAGCAGCCAAACAGAGACGTTTGGACGCTCTGAGGTGAGCCTTTTAAAACATTGGACAATAGTAAGGAAACATAAGATAGAGAAGAGGGGAGAGGTATTGGCTTATGGACACGAAAATATATGTTTACTCTTTCATTTTAATTGATTTTGACGGAGTTTTGCTTATGGACTAAATTGCTAATGGTCTTTGATCACAAGGGTGTAAGTTTTAATTTTTTTACAACAGAGGCCATTATTTGACTATCTTATAACTACAAGAACTGTTTTTCCAGTTAAGCCAAAATAAATTAAATACAATATGAGTGTAGAGTGAGATAATGCGTGTTAAAAAATTTTCCTTAGATAAATGGTGATATAATTTCCAACAAAAGAAAAACAGATCTATTTAATGTTGGGTGCACACCAAAATTAATTGGAATAAATCAAACATAACCAATTCGATATCGAAAAATTCTCCCAACGAACAACACCATAACACGTTCTATGTCATGTTATGGAATTTCTTGATGTGCGACAGTAATATTACATGTCATGTTAACACTTATAATAAGGATCTGATATTATGTATGTATTTATGTAAATGAAGAGTAATTGCTAGGATATATCACATTTTTTTTACTATAGTATAGCACAAATGTGATAAATGCATATAATCAATATCCAATGAGAGTAAATCCTTTGCTTTGTATGTAAATAGTAATTAACATGACATGTACATCACTTGCCATATTAAACATTACCACTACTGGTTCTAAAATGTGACCACCTCCTAACATTTTTCATAAATAAAATATAAAAAAAAAGTATGATTACATTCATACGTAAGAATTCTAAAACTAGTCATTTACAACCCCTATGATTGCATTCACACGTAAGAATTCCAAAACCAGTCATTTAAAACCCCACTAATAACACCAATTAAAATATCATTTTTTATACAAATTAAAGGAAAAAAAAAATCATGTTACTCATGTCACATTTTTCCTTCGATCCGTTCCACTGGTTCTAAAATGTGACCACCTCCTAATATTTTTTCATAAATAAAATATTAAAAAAAAGTATGATTGCATTCATACGTAAGAATTCTAAAACTAGTCATTTACAACCCCTATGATTGCATTCATACTTAAGAATTCTAAAACCAGTCAGTTAAAACCCCACTAATAACACCAACTAAAATATCATTTTTTCTACAAATTAAAGAAAAAAAAAAGTCATGTTACTCCTGTCACATTTTTCCTTCGATCCGTTCCACTTGTAAGATAGAGCAAATGGTTAAAGTCTGTCTGTCTCTTCTCTCGAACCTTTTTAACGGCGGTAGGTGAGTCTGGTGGGCTCTCTCCTCCTTATAAAACCACATTTAGCTGCTGTTCTTGTTTTGTGCCTCCCCATTCTTCCATCACAAACGCACTTCAAACTTTCCCTTTCGTCTCTTCTGTTCTTATCTCTTTCGCTCCCAACAACCCCAAAAAAGAAAATCTGTATCGTATCTCGTCCGGAAACAAAGCTAATAACCAAGATGCCTGCCGATAGCTCATCAGTTTCCGGCCACGGCCAAACTATTTGTGTCACTGGAGCTGGAGGCTTCATTGCTTCTTGGATGGTGAAGCTATTGCTCGAAAGAGGCTACACTGTTAGAGGAACCTTGAGAAACCCCGGTAGTTCAAATCATTAACATCTTCTAGGCCTGCATTCACAATTTCACAGATAATTCGACATGTTATGTTGTTACGTTGTTATCAGACCGAATTATAATTATTGGTTACTTAATTATGTTTGCACGGGCAGTTCTTGTTTCAAAATATTCGGTAGATATAATTCAGAATTTGACAGCGTAACATGCCATCCATGTTGCAAGACGTGTGCATCAGTTATTGTTCTTTGTGCTTTTATCCTTTATTTTTTGTGTGGTTTTCTTATTTTGGTTTTGGTTATAGATGACCCAAAGAATGCTCATTTGAGAGAGCTTGAAGGAGCTGCAGAGAGACTAACTTTGTGCAGAGCTGATCTCCTTGATTATGACAGCCTCAAAGAAGCCATTAATGGCTGTGATGGAGTTTTTCACACAGCATCACCTGTCACGGATGATCCAGTGAGTTTTCTTTTCCCTTGACTTTCTCTTCTGCTTTTCTGTTTGGTTGCTGAGAAAATCATGGAAAATGTGCACGCTATTTCCTTTTTGTCTTTTAACCATTCACCAACCGGAGGCAGATTGTCTGCCATCTTGTTTGGATGCCCTTTCTTTTCTTTCTTATTTGTGCTGTCGTTAAGATACGTTAACATTTTATATTCTTATTACTTTTTATCTTATTATCTCTATAAAAAAAATTAATATAAAATATTAACGTGATTTAACCGTGATCGCACAAAATAAAAAAAAGATGAGAAAGACACCCAAACAGAAGGGCAGACATCTTCCTCCTCACCAACCCCCTGCACCAAAGCCTTACGTTCCTAATCCTCCCTAATTGATTGCTTTGTGGACCCTTAAAAACTAAGTATTAATAAGTGCGGTTCTCTGTCAGACGGCACTGCTTGTCGATGGTGATGTTCGGGGCCGTATCTGATTTCCGAGGGCTGTACGAAATTTTTTAGAGGGCTCATTTTTAAGATTGTATTAAAAAAAGTAAAACAATGTATTGATAGTAGAAGACAATAACTTAAATCAAAATAAATTTTAGCATTCACCGATTGTAAGTTTACAAATGTCATTAATTATAAGTAAAAAAGCTACAAATATAACATTCACTAAATAATAAAAAGCAGTTCAATCTTAAACAATTAAACAAAAAAAATAAAAAAACTTCAAAACTCTAACTTCACTTGAATATATAACCTTATTATATAATAAAATTGGAAAACTATAGTTTTTAGGGTGTTATTATTGACAATTAGAATATCTCATTGCACTAGAAATTTTTATATTGAGTGAGATGCTAAGGATATTAAATTTCTAGACAAAATTTTGTAAATTAAATGACATGTAAGTTAATGATTGAATTATTACTTAAGCATTGATAAACATGATTATTTCCTATTGGTGACTCATCATTTAGTTCACAAATTTAGTCTCCCTAGCATTACCCTTTTATATTTAGAAATTAAAAAAATTTACTCTTATAAGGAATGCACAATGAAATTTTAAAGTACTAACAAAAATAATTTTTTAAATATATAACATCATTACATAACATTAGATGACAAAAATTTTGAGCGTCTTGTGCAACTGCACCTTTCGCTCCCTCACCCCAAACACCTCCTCTGGTGATGTTGTGGACCTCCAAAAGAAAGATAAGAAAGAAAAGGAAAATTTGGTTGATGGGCATTGGTTTGGTGGATATTTTTCCTCTTTCGTATTTTTTGAGATTTTTTTTTTAAATAGAAGTTATTATTGGCACTTCATCATGATGCACTTTTGGACAAAAAGTAAACTTGGAACTCAATCAAACGAAACTATATGTCGCTGGTAATATGGTGTCATGAGTAATAATATCATATTATGTTAGAGAAATTTACATACAAGATATTTTGTTATTGATTTGGAACGTCACATGGTAGTGCTTTCTTTTTAATTATCATGCTACACAATTCAAGTTGTAAGACAAAATGAAAAAGAAAGTCTGATGAATCATACCATCACGACTCTTAAAAGTAGATGTTAGCAGATACTTTCAAATATTAAAAATTTGATAAGAAGTGCATGTTTGACCAAAAAAGAATGGAAGTATGCATGTATGTCGATATTTATCTTAAATTTGGTAAATACAAAATTCAATTTTCATTTTATTTTTTTTGAACAAACGAGGGAAAATATTAGGCTAAGCAATGTGTATAATAATAAGGGGTTGAACTTAGACGTAACCCACAAAAGAAAGAAATCACTGTACTTTTTACTAGAAATAGAAAATTTTTGACCTTTTTTATTTTCTTTAGAAATAATAAATGATTATGCAATCCCAAAAATAGTATTAATTCTAGCCTAATATGTATATACAGGAACAAATGGTGGAGCCCGCGGTGAACGGAACCAAGAATGTGATTCAGGCAGCGGCGGAAGCCAAGGTGAAACGGGTGGTTTTCACGTCGTCAATCGGTGCGGTGTACATGGACCCCACCAGGGGTCCTGATGTGGTTGTTGATGAGTCTTGTTGGAGTGATCTTGAATTTTGCAAGAACACCAAGGTTGGCAGAGCCATAATTATATATAATTTCTTTTCTCATTAACAAAAAAAAAATCACTTATTAATATGAAGTAGTTATGTTTATCTACCAATAAAATACTTATTATATATTAGATAGAACACAGCAGAGAATCATCGGAAAAAAAGAAAAAAGAAAAAAGAAGAAGCAACAACTACTCTATTTAGTAACTATTTTTGTAACTATTATTAGAATAACAATGATGCTGTAAATAAAAAATGGTGACAAATATATATATATATATATACACAGACCCTTTAAGGGAAGGGATCCCCATTTTTCAAAAAAAATGTGGACACCCTCTTAATCATTAGATTTGGCTTTAATGAATTTTTGTGATTGAGATTGAATCACAGGTCACAGAATCTCAACCACAAGATTTCATTAAAACCAAATCTAACGGTCAAGAGGATATCCCTAATTTTTTTGAAAAATGGGGATCCTTTACCTTAAAGGCTTCCACTATATATATATATATAACGTATTAGTCATCATTTTGTTGTAACTATAACCTATTTTTTGGCTTTTGTCACCATTTTCTTATTGGTGGCATCATTATCCAACAAAAGCTGCAAAAATAATTACTAAATATGATAGTTGTTGCTCATTTTTCTTGTAGTGAATGAAAATATACATATGCATTGTGATCAAAAGTTGGAGAAAAATCTACTAGTTAAAAATAATTTTTTTAGTCAATTGGGATGCATGAGTATAGACTTGGTTGAACATGCAAAAACAATATAAAAGAAAAAATTTGGAAAGAAAAATCAATATAGAAAAAAACCCAACATATAATTTATATTACTTTTGATAATTTGACAATGAATTAACAAATAAAAATTAAATTGCAGAACTGGTACTGCTATGGGAAAGCAGTGGCAGAGCAGGCAGCATGGGCTGAGGCCAAAGAGAAAGGGGTGGACGTGGTGGTAGTGAACCCAGTGCTGGTGCTCGGACCACTTCTGCAACCAACTGTCAACGCTAGCACCATTCACATCCTCAAGTACCTGACAGGCTCAACCCAGACATATGCCAATTCAGTTCAGGCCTATGTGCATGTTAGGGACGTCGCACTGGCTCACATTCTGGTCTATGAGACACCCTCTGCCTCCGGCAGATATCTTTGTGCTGAGAGTGTGCTCCACCGGGGCGACGTGGTGGAAATCCTGGCAAAATTCTTCCCGGAATACCCTATTCCCAACAAGTAAGTGTAACATCGTTATCCTTGTCAATTTTGGTACAAACCCTTTCACTGAGTAGTTGAGTATACATAGTAAATTTTCTTGTTTTTACCACTGTTATTAATGTTGTTATTAGGTTAGTTTTGTGACTTTTGTTTCTTACAAAGATAAGATGTCTGGTAAAATAAAATGCTAATTACAGTCGTTCATGTATGCCTAGACAATTTTAAGGCATTGATTTTTTTGTTATGCATACGTAGACGACTCTTAAGCATCGATCTAATATAGGGTGGACGTCCATGGAATTGGCCATAAAAGATCACAAATGTTTAGGCTTTATTTTCTTGAGTAACTTCTGAGCATACTACAAATACACATTCAACTTCTGAATTTTAGGGTTTTTAATTGTTAGTAAGACTTGTTGGGTTACTCTTATCCACACACACACATAATCAGGTGTCAAATCATAAAATAAATCCTAATGTTTTAAATTAGAAGTGGAGAAATATTCATATCGACATGCGTTGAATTATATATATATATAAGTGTAAGCTTTTGATTGCATGATTTGACACCTGATTATGGAAGACATGTGTAAGCTTTTGATTGCATGAGCTTTGTTGCGGTGTGGGGCAGTAGTAGTTGTACCAGCTTTGACATGTCTACACAAAAGACTCCACAAATTGAAAAATTTAGTACCAAAAAAGTTGAAATAGTGATGTATAAATATACTTGTGGACCTAATGAGTCCTTACCTACTACGAGACTCCACCTCACCCTGAGATTATCTTTAGTTTTTATTATCCTTTGCAATATGTCACTCTCTTTACCTACCAATATGTCACTCTCTTTACCTACCAATATGTCACTCTCTTTACTTACCAATATGTCCTGTCTGTACCGATATTTTTTTTGAACAAGAATTGTCTGAGCTCTCTTGTCCTTCTATTTGTGTAATCACGGTTAAATTACGTCAATATTTTATATCACTATTCATTTTTGTCTTACTATCTCTATAAAAAAATAATATAAAATGTTGACGTGGCTTAACCGTGACCACACAAAACAGAAGGGCACGGAAGGGCAAACAATTCTTGTCCATTTTTTTTGGGCTGTTTTATTTCTCGCTTTTAGCTGCAAAATCCTTGTAATTTGTCATTCTGAACTTTGTTATAAAAATTCCCTTTGACTAAAAAAAAAACAAAAAAAAATTATCCCCTTTGTTAGGCCACCATGCAAGTTCAATGATTTAGTGCTCTCAATGATCTTAGGAATATATACGGTGCCAATATTTCACCATTACTAGGTCCCACTTCAGGAAATGAAGTGGGTCAAACAAAAATTCAGGAAATAATACTGTCTTCTGCATGAAGACTAACTGGTGTTCTTAAACTATATTTCAATAAAAATAAATATTTGCTAATCATTGGTTTACTTCTTTTGTATTTTTTGTTGAGCATATATATCTAAAAGAGTGATTACGTCGTACTAATTGATAGCTTCTTCTGATATGTATTTGCATTTTGTTAGTTTACTTGGTGTTTTTTATTTTTTTATGTGATTAAACTAATATGTCAAATATATACTTTGCAGGTGTAAAGATAATGGGAAACCCAGAGCAGAACCATACAAGTTCACAAACCAGAAGCTACGAGACTTAGGGTTGGAGTTCACCCCAGTCAAACATACCCTGTATGAAACTGTCAAGAGCTTGCAGGAGAAGGGCCACCTTCCAGTCCCTACAAAACAAGAACAAGATTCCATTAAAATTCAATCTTAACTTATAATAGTATAAAAAGATAAGAAGCATGAATATGTTCAAGTCCTTAATTGTTTGTTTGCTTAAATACTTATCTTATTTTGGTCCCTATAATAAAGCTGCGATGGTATTTTTAATACTAGGTTCTAGTAGAGGGCACAGTTTTCAGGAAAGATGTTGTTTGCAGTCCCATTTCTGAATTCTGAGAACCAAATAAATTTTTGTAATGAAGTCAATAACTCTTAAGCCAAAGTATCTTTGGAAACGGTTAATTTCTGAATTCTTTTCGTAATTTCCTACTAATTATAGATTTGCATGGCATAAGTTTAGGACAACATCCCCATGACAAGGAAAGATTTTTAGTGTATTAGGAACATACCTTTATATATCAAGTGGCATTATACAAGTGGATAAATACTTTAAAAAAAAACTTTTTCTCACTTATTTTATGACACTTAAGTACCGAGCCGTATTCATAATACACTGCATAATCTCTCCATATAAGCAAATGGATAAAAAAAAATTTAAAAGGAAAGCAAATGCTATTGTGCAAAATTGTTTTAACAGTTTGGAATTTTCAATGTACTATTAATCTGAAGGTGTGATCTTTTATCTCAATATACTTTGATACAATTTAGGAAGTTACCACTTAATATGTAACATTATAGAAGGACAATTACTTTTTCTGATGTGCGACAATTGTATTTGATTCACAATTCCTAACAACGCTCTCTCTATCACATCAGTGAGAATATTTGTTCAGTTTAGACGGAATCGGATCCCCTCCGGATCCCAATAAATTGAGCCTAAGGATCAAATGATCCGGACCGTTGAAATTTGATCGAACGATTATAAATAGAGAGTCCCTCTAAAAGTTATAATAATTGTAGTCGTTGTATCAAATTTCAACGGTCTGGATCAAATGATCATTGAACTCAGATTATTGGGATCCGAAGAGGCAACGTGCCAACCCTATCTGCAACTTCATTTAAGAATTTAATTATTTGAACTGGTTTAGGACTTTGAGGCCTCAAATTCCTCCTACTGTGGGATTGGATGCCGTTGTAGGGCGGCTAATTAGATGACTCAAAAAGGGGTGGAATAATAAAAGGGAAAGATATATACAAGTAACCTACCGACCAAGGAACAATTGGTTGGTTTCTTGGTGAAGCACTTGCTGTGCGAAGTTGGTCGATTATATTGTTAAACAGTCATAAATATTCAATTGTAATGCTGACCCTTTCAAAGGAAACTCCACTATATGAGGACCAAACAAAACCCATGATGCCATGCGTATGTATTTCGTAAGCCTGCATGAGCATTATACCATATAAATATTAATAAGGAAATGGTTTTCAGTCATTTTAGCGTTACACGCTTCTCTGTTTAATACTAACTCTTTATTTCATTTTATTATTTAATTCGATGATCATAAATCAAGAAAGTCGTGTTAAAAGTTAAAAAATAATTGTGCGAAAATCACATTCCTATATATATGTGTGTGTGCGCGTGTAATAAATATAGAAGTAAATTACACCTTACCACCTTAAGTTTGAAGTCGATTTCAATTTCTTACAACATGTTTAAAACATTTCAATTTCATACCTCAAGTACTATTTTATTTCAATATAATACATCCGTTACATTTTTCATCTATTCATCCGTTAAGAGCTGACATGGCTCCTATATTTGTGCCACATGTGGCAAAAAAATAATTTTTTAATTAAAGAAAAAAATTGAAAACGCAAAACCCAACCCCCACCTCCCCATCTCTCTCCTTCTTCTCCAACCCGCCAACCCCTTACTCTTCCATCCTTGCCCACCGACATCTCCATCGCCAACGTCAACTGTCGGGGGAAATGGTCTTGCCTCAATGGGAGGGAGGTGGAGATGGTTGGAGACTTTGGTAGTAGGTTTTGTAGTTGGGCTGCGGGGGAGAATTGCAGAGGAAAAAGGGTGGGGGGTGTTCTAGAACAGAAAGAGGGAAAAAAGGGTAGAGGGGTTCTGGAACGAAATAGGGAGAAAGGGACTCAAGGGAGAATCGGACCTCGTAGTTTTGGATGTGGCTCACCAAATCAGTCATGGTTTCCAGCGAAAACAGGCACCAAAAATCTTCTAAATTGAAGCAAACCGACCGCCTCGCCGCCCGCCACATTTTGGTCTTGGATCTTCGACCTGGATCCCCATCAACAAAACCTTCTTCCTCGCTGTCGGCTTTGCCATGAAAAGTCGGATTCGAGACGGGACTCTTCACGGCATCGCCAGGTGGGTTGAGAGGGAAGAAGAAGCGGAAGAAGAAGAGAGTGGAGGGGATGGGTTTTCCGATCTCGAAGTCTTGCAAGGACCATTCTTTCTTCTAGGTTTCTTGCAATTTTGTGGGTTTTTGTTTTTGATTCCATTGCCCTCTGATTTCTAGAACGGATTTTCTGGAATTGAAAAGCCAGAGAGAGAAAGGAAGAAACAATGTGGAGTAGCTCATGTGGAGCCAAAAATAATCAAGAGGCGGCACGTGAATTTTTGGATCAAAATGACAAAATTACTCTCAAGGTACACCGAAATTCTTACGCGCGAGCAGTGGAAGAAACCTAAGGTGTTATTTGTTTTTTGGGGTCGGGGCGGGGAAATGATGGGTTTTGGGGTTTCTTTGTTTTTTTTTTAACTTTTCTTTAATTAATTATTTTAATATTTTAAAATTTTTTATTAGGTTTAGCCACATGGCACAAATGTGGCAGTCATGTCAGCTCTTAACGGACCAATGGATGGAAAATGTAACGGATGTATTATATTGAAATAAAATAGTACTTGAGGTATGAAATTGAAATGTTTTAAAGATGTTGTAAGGAATTGAAATCAATCCCAAACCTGAGGTGGTAAAGTGTAATTTATCCTAAATATAGGTATAGGCAGTGACAGATCCAAGATTTAAACCTTGGGGATCCTAGTGTTAAATACGAGTTTTTTAGATAGGAAAAGAGTGTGAAGCGCTAAAAAAAGAAAAAAAATTCAGTTTATTCACTTGGTGTGCTTGTTATGCACATGTCAATAGATATCGACATGCGCTGAAGCAATCTGATGAGTACTATAGAGAGAACTTGTCGAGTATTGTCAACGCAACATGTCGAAATATGCCTAGCATGCATTGCATCGAACATTTAATGGGCACAAAAGGGATCCTTAATAACATTCAGAAGGTCATCGGAAAACCTTCACATGTATATTTTTCGAACTCGGGTGGCCCTGGGATAGTATTGGTGTTGTTGGAGTGGGCCCTCAGTCCGTCAACCTGAAATTTAAGATGGTATCAGAGCTAGGGGACGGGCTCGTATTGCCACGTGAACGGGTGGGTCCCCTTTGACCTCGCGTGAATGGGTGAGCAGCGACTTGGCTCCATGTAGGCCAAGAGATGCCACGTGAATGGGTGGGTCCCCATTGGCCCCGCACAAACGGGTGAGCCTCGACTTGGCTCCACGTAGTTGCTGATATGTGGAACTTCACATGTGATCCATAAAATAGGGTCTCATGTGTAGGGGAGTGTTAGAATTAATCTGTCTCACATCGCCCAGAAGGCTTGAGAACAAGCCATTTATATAGAATTACCCCACTCTAACTAACACCGAGGTCTTTTGTGAAAAAAACCCCACACCTGACGGATTTAGTAGGTGACCAAGTGGGGATAGTATCGGTGTTATTGAAGTGGGCCCATGCCCTGTCTACTTGAAATTTAAGACCTTGGTCTTTACTTCCATCCACCCCAAGGTATAAGGAAGGAACATATTATAAATAGTGTGCATATTTGACCGTATGTACTGGCCATATAGGAAGGGTTGAAAAGATACCATAATGTTGCTGCTGCTCAACAAACATCCCATCCCGCCATTAAAAAAGGGGGTATTTTTTCTTCGAAGTTTCACCCATGTAATGTACGTACTCAAGTTCAATTCTAACCCCACCAACTGTATTTTATTTTATTGTTGCGTAAACTCGTAACTCCAATATTACAAGCAATTTTCTCCTCCGTCTCCAGACTTTCCTTTATATTCCCCCCCCCCTTTTCTGTAATATGCACTGAGCAGATTGATTGGCGCCGGCGGTGTAATATATTTTACGTTTAGAACGAGCCATCTTCTACGTACAATAAAACCTTATATATATATATATATATATATATAACATTGAGACCGAGCCAATTTTATTACTATTACTTAATAGAGGCGTAATTAAAAAAAAATTGTATTCTTTTACTTAGCCATTCTTAATGAAAGTTGAATAAATACAAAGAACTACGTGTAGTGAAGGATGTTAATTTTCAAGTTGTAACATTAGAAAAGTAGACACCTAATTATTCAAGAGAGACATTTTTTTCATGCAAAATGTTGTGTTTAAAAAATCACTCGAGAAATATGAAGTATTTGATAGATTGCTATGAGTCTGGTCTAGTAAACAAAGGATTCGCTAGAGAAAAAGTATTAAATTATGATCTATTTTGTCAATGTGAAACATTTGTCACATGAACAATATACGATTTTTCTACATGTTATATACTTGTTTGGATTATAAACGAAAGACATGAGACTTTGTACCATATGGTTGGACTTACATTTGAAACCTTCCCTACACTCCCCCGATGTGATGTGAGCTCAAGTGCAACTGGTTGCATACCATTTTCTTATCTCTCCAATCATGTGACGATAGATAAATTGTATGTAAAGCGCTACATGTGTTCTTTTTTAGTGGAAGTAGCTTATGGGGCAAATACAAATTATATTTGATTTATGTCAAAACACATAGACAAGAGTAAATTAAAAGCTGTGTTATTGATAGACAACTATTTTCCTTTCAGGGTGCCTAATGTCGGAGAAAAACTGCGTTATTAATCTATCTTGTGCAACTACTCATCAGTCGATATCTTCGGTAGACCTCTTCTGAGGCAGCTGCATGCTCATAATGTCTTCTCTTTCGAGATGATACATCGATCCAGTACCCTGCTGCCCAGTTTCCGTTTGCCTACTTTCAGGTGTTGTTAGAGCCAAAAGATGCGTAGCCTCCTTGTTTTTACGGAACACCAGATACGCGATTCCAGCCAAATACAATCCCATACCAGAGAATCCTAACATTCCAAGAAAGACAATGCCCACAACTTTGAAGTGGTTGTGAAGAAGCAACTTGATAAATCTACTCATCAGGTAGTATACATTTATGGCCATCAGCAGAGAACCAATGATCCAAGTGAGAGCTGAAATCTGCAATCGGAGACATTAAACATGGCTGATAAAAACGATTTTTCAAGCTATGGAGCATACTACAGTTTTAGATTGGCTTGGTGGAAAAAAACTATTTTTCGGGAAATTCATAAGTGCTTTATCTATACAATGCTGAAGTATGTTAAGCAACTGACGCTCCAGAAAGCTTCCAGAAATAAAACTAAAGGACTTGCAATCAAATTTATTACAACTGACTTACCGCAGTAGAGTTGGCATGTGTCCCCATCTTGGTCTTGCAACTTGTGAACTTAAGAAGTGGAATAAGAGCGAAAGGCAGCTCAAACGATAAAATCATCTATAAACATGAAATCAGAGTTAAGATTTGTAGTTAGTGACATGAGTCAACTTTAAAATATTAATTATATGCATTATCCAGCTTGTTCTTGTATATATGCAATTTGAAACGAATAATAACAATTCAAAAATTTCTTATCAGTAAAGCACAGTCCCCAAACGCAGTATGATATCAAGGCAAAATGATGCAACATGTTCCATGAACCTCTAAACAAGTGATAGACACGGACAAATGACATGTCCAGTAGGCCAATATGGAAAAGCTTCAACTTGTCCGTTGATTTCAGGGCTCTCCAAATGGACATAACAGATCCAAATAAAATTATACAATTGTCAGTTCATTTTGAGATCAAATTATGACCTTTTGCTAGTAAAGAGCTTTGTGCTTTAAAAAACACATCTTCGCTACCAAATAGTCACTCAACCATTACAGAAAACATAAGAACTTACGAAAAATATAAAACTTTAGTAATACTCTGATTCCTGGACAGGAATATTGGTAAATGGGCACAGTTACAAAACTCGCTTTGCATGATATAATGTAACTAAATTTAAGAGAAAAATTTAATGTGTTTTCCTACAAAAAGGTAACTTTATGAACTCCAATAACGTTATGAACTCCAAGCATTAATTCAGAAACAATGTGGTAAAATTCCACTTGTGCTTCTGTCAACAGAATCAGCCCTATCTTTTAAGATAGATTTCCTAAATGGTGCTTGAGTAAGGTTCTCAGAGTATAAAAGCTTGACCATACGGAGGGTTACTTGCTTAGTGTGAAATGCTACGTCACTATGAAGGAGGCTTTTGGCAGAGATACCAGGTGAAGTGGATCCTTTAATTGACTATACCGGTGGCATAAACAAAGCTACTAAGAAGCCCCATAATAAGGTCTCTCAAGCATGTAATACGTTCCATCGGAACAAACTCACAACTCAATGGGATAATTTTCGTACATCAACCATAACTCAATTCATTCAAACAATTTATACTCAAGTAAAATGTGTTCGAAAAAAAACACAGCAGTTTTCAGAGAAGGACAACGCATGATTTGGAAGTAAAATATAGTATAAGGAGTTTATCTTACTGATGCAATAATAATCAGCTTTCCAGCCCCAGAAGAACCGCCAATGACTGCAACAATCAAACTAGGGACTATTGCCAAGCATCTGGTTAAAAAGTTTCGAAGCCATGGCTTCAGTCGTAAATCAAGAAACCCCTTCAACAGAAAATAAAGGAATATAAAGTTAAAAACACGATGAGACACACGAAATTTAATTTTGCTTTTTCAATTCACCAGTGGTACAGAGAAATGTATTTCTTAGATACAAAGCAGCCATATATAAGTTAAAAAATATTATTACGCTTTGAACACTAAATTTGTATACTAAAGTTGAGTTAGAAACAAGAATTAGGAGGGTGATCTAGGAATCACTCATCGATGACCAGTACAAAAAATGCTAATACATCAGTACAGTTTTACTTGTTGACTTATGTCAAGGAAGACCAGGACAGAGAAGTAACAGCTTATACCCGACAACACTAACTATATTTGAACTCCGAGCATGTGTATTAAAGGGAATGAATGTTATTTTTCCAGCAAGATATACCTGCATAACATATTGCCCTGCATATGTTCCTGTTATAGTAGAACTTTGACCTGATGCAAGCAATGCTACAGCAAAAAGCTTGGAACTCCAACTACCTAAAACATTCTGTAAATAAAAATTATAAAACATCAGGATGAAAGTGACCTCTAAATTTGGGATATAGCAAATTTTAACATAACATATGATAACCAATACAGGACGTACTCTTAGTAAAAAGGAGGCTTTATTCAAATCCAAGTCCTGGCAGTTCATCTTATCTTCAGCATTCAAATCTGGGGAATTGCAAACTGCACCACTTACAGAAATAACGGATACATTTATTAGGAATGCCACCATGAGAGCAAAGCCACTTTCTATCATATAAAATCTGCATGCTTCCTGCAAACAAAATCTTTTGTCAGATATAATTTCTTAGTATGTTCAGCCATATTCTAAGAACACTATGCTAGGGGACAAATCGAGATAATCTTGCCTACATAAGTCTTTTCAGAGGTGATTTCAATAAATTATCCAAGAACCCATAAAGTAAAGGGGGAAGAAAGAGAAGTCGCTTAGCGGGAACAGGGGATTGAAACTCTTCTATGCTAACTTTTGTTTTTATTTTTTCAACAAAGTATGCAACAAACTTCTCATAAGTCATAACGCAAGAAATTAAAACCAGTAACGGAAATTAATTACTTTGATGCCACGGACAGATCGTGGTATTTTCCTAGAAAGCACCAATGCAGAGTGGAGGAAGAGATTGTGCCTGTAGCAAGTACCTAAAGCTGCTGAGCAGAAAGAACTAAACAAAACAAACCAGTAATGAATATATGAAGTCACTAGAAACCTACGGCATAACCATAGCACCAAGAAGAGAAATTGCAAGACCAGTAGCACCATTTCCTTTGAGTTGGGGAACAAAAAGCCCGCCCAAAACTTCAGTAGCGTCAGGTTTTGCGTAGCCAAGCTCAGCAAAGAAGCATCCAGCAATTGTGAGTACAAGGAATGCGATCAAGAATTCAAGTTTCCTAACCTGTAAATGAAAAAATCTTTGGGTAGCTTATTTTAAATTGTAGGCATGGAAACCAAAGATCTCCAAGACTCCAGAAATATAAAAATCATATTTACCCCATATTGCTGTAATGCCAGAAGAATCAATGTACTAAGTCCTGTCAGAAGTACGCCAATCCATATGGGTATGTTGAAGAGCATGTTCAATGCAAAGGCAGTTCCAATCACTGGTAAGGAAGATCAGTCAGAACGAAATGAATAAGCACATATCTTATCAACTCGCCACTATTAATGGAAAGATGATGTGATACCTCATTATCTTCATATCTTATCAAAATAATCAAAATTATTTATAAACAAGGAAATCATGGATGTACATATGTGGATCCACAAACATATATATTTTTCTGTTAATAATCCCGAATCTGAATTCTTATATCCAAAATAAATAAATAAATAAAAACAAATTTGTTGGCTCCTAAAAAGCACATGTAAGCAAAAGTACTACAGAGCAAAATCACTTCCTACATTAGCAATAGAGAAAAGGCGCGTGAGACAGCTAAACTAGTTCTACCTTTAACGTTTATCAAAACCTTCTAAACATACAAAATAAAACATAATTAGAAAACTTAACTGCTTCTATTCTGACTGAATTTATACCAACATATTTTTTTGTGAAGAAGAAACAATTTTTTATTGCAAAGAAACAATAAAAAATACAAGAGCCGACAAGAAGTCTGCAAAGGCACAAACAAAACAAGATAAATAGCACCATCACCTTGACATTTAGAAACTATAAAAACAACACAAAACTAACTAACAGCCACATTCCAGTTACGCCAAATTTCTGAAAAAGACAAATCTTTAAATTCTGTAGTAACCGAAGCCCACAGAGATGACAATAACCAAACTTTATACCAACATCTGAGAAGCAAAAATTACCTTCAGGAATGTCACATGCAACTATAGAAATCTCAGCAAGAACCCAAAGAATGAAGTTTGTTACTCTAGGATATTCCGCTCTACAGTGCTCTGCCAAATGCTTTCCTACAAATTAGAAAAACATTTTATAAGAAATGCAGAGAAAAAATATTGTCAGAAGAATTTACAAAAAGATACTTATAAAATCACATGCCTGTGACCACCCCAAGATTGGCTGCAAGGGACTGAATGACGAGAGCAGCACATGAAGCAACTAATATTATCCAGAGTAGCTACAAAAAGAGATTTTCTCAGAACTGTTATCATCAATTTTTGTGGCTTACTTCACCCTTTAGTTTCAAGAAAATAATTTGGAAACTAAGCCAGTGAGTAGATGATATCTCTAACTAGTATGTAGTTTTTAGATTGATGAGGTGGCTCATAGGATAGAATGAAAACATTACATTCCAGAGATTCAGGACATGACCTAAAACTTAACAAAATGCAATTTCAAAATGTTCCATTCCGGATCCTCTCAAAGATGCTAAAATTATCTAATTTCAAAGGCAAAAACACTGCATTAATGATATACACACCCCATACTTGTACTGCGCCCCTGACTGCAAATCCGTCTCAACTGTAAACCAACCACAAAACATGAGGTTATGTTCAAGAGAACAAAAAAAAATGTAGAAGCATGAAGTAAATAATAAGTTATGATCTCACAATTTCCAGGATCTATATACGCAATTGAAACAAGAAACCCTGGACCCATGTAGGCAAAGAGATTTTTCCAGCTTGTCTTCTGCATGAACAAAATGTTGATGGTCATCTATCAAGGAATTCAATTTGAACATTTATTATCCCAAACTTGCCTCCTATCAGCAATAAATCAAGAAACATAAACTAATAAATAGACCATGTCAGACAAGCATATTGCGTTCTAAGCAGAAATTCAGTTGGCATAGACCGACCTATTCATATGGACAATATAGAGTACAGTAAGAGTAACTCTTTCAGTCTATCATCCACCAGAAGACCCATCTTCAGGTGAACTTCGCATTTTATATGAATCCATGCGCCATTTACCACACAATTTCAATTTATTAATTACAGTAATCTCCTAATCTAACTAACGTAGCTTTGTTGTCTATGATCAGCATCAGGATACGCCAATGATTCTTTCAGCTGATGTAACCACGCATTGCTTATTCAAACAACAGAGTTGCTTCTAGTTTGACAAAAGATTTTTTTGTATTTTCAATAGCACCATGGTCAAGGACTTCTACAAGGTTTACACTGTTAATGACCCACTTTCTTTAGAATGTTTTCAGTCATCCCACCAATTCCAATTAGAATTTCTCAGACACCTCTCCAATTTCACCCAGTAGTACTGTACAATTAACAGAAGGAGAAGCAACCCCAACATGCCCTGCATTCCTCTCCACTTAGATGGTGATGTATCGATAAAAAACTCCCATGTTTGTCATTCTTCATTTCCAAACACAACACGAAACATCCTTTCTCTGCTTGGAGCAAATCCCATTTTGACCTTATGGTTTGTTCAGCATAGTTAAATAATTACCAAACACAACACGAAACATGATTTGTTCAGCGTAGTTATACAATTACCAAGAAAGCACAAAAAATAAATTCCCCTACAGATAATGGAAATTCATATAATAATAGAATCATAGATAGAAGTCAAGTGTTTAGTTTCAGCCAATGCTTATTGCAACCAATTTGGAGTTGCTTATACCCATCTTGTTTTACTTTGAATGCAATAAACAGATTGCAGTGCTTATGGAATGCAATAAACAACAACAATATATACTAAGATCAAAACAAAATGCATAGATATGACAATTAGAACATGAAACTCACATCAGGAACAACAATTTGTTCAGTATCTGTGTCCTCAATGAGCGGTGCATTAGAGAAGCTTCGGTTTCCAGTGCTTGCAATGAACTGTGGCTGCGCAGAAGCCGTACTGGCCACAGCCATTTTTTCCACCCTTTACTTTACCACTACTGTAACAAAAGAAAAAAAGCTTCCATCATGGTGAAGCAAATTCATATTACAGCATTTCCAAGTTTCAACCTAAAGAATTGGGTGAACTTGCAGATAAAATATTAATTACAGCAAATTCAAGAATTCTTTTTTTTTTTTGGTAAATAAACTAATTCAAGAATTGGGTTCACTTGAAGGTAACATATTTATTACAAAACTGATAAGTAATGGGAAATTTACACTCTCTTCGGTGCTAAAAACGCTGCAAAAGAGTAAGCAACTTTGAATGGATTTCTCAGGATTTTGCTGATGCTCCAGTAGAGAATGAAAACAAAAAGAAGAAATAGGTTATGGTACTAAGCTCAGTAAAAGTAAGAAACTGAGAATTCGGATCCCATATCAATGAAAAATCATACGGATTAAAAACCAAAACTTCATCATTTCTTCGAATACTTGGTGGGCAACCAAAGAAAACAGATAAAAATAGCAATATCCTGGATTGGAGTCTTTGTTTCTGGAGAATGACTGGAAACAACAGGTCACAGCATATAGAGCAGAACCCTAATGGACTTACTTAACTTGCAGGAACAGAAACTCAACTGTTTCTGTCAACTGGGAGAAAATGGGGTCAGTAGCAGTAGCTGAAGAGCTCTATCCCCGGAGAGCTCTTCTTATAGGACACACTTGATACTCTCTCTTTCTCTCTCTCTCTCTCTAAATATCGCTTTCACGCATAGGGTTGGACTTATTCTGTTCTGACAAAGAGTGTTTTGTATCGGATCCCACCAATAGGAGAAAAGTGGCTACGTGTTGCGGGAGAAAAACCATAACACGAGCGTGAGTTTGACATCAGATTTGACTTCTTAATTAAAAATGTTATCGCAGTCTTATTTTACCGTTATTGTTTATTTAGATATTTTGATATTTCCTTTAAAAATGCTTTTAAACAAATTATTTCAAATTAAACTAACTTCTAAGACTAAGTTGAACTGAAATGGCTTGAACTAAATATGATAAAAATATTGAAGTGTTTGTTGATGTACCCGACTAAACTACATATTACAATATTTTTAGGACTTAAATTATATTTTTATTACTGTGGTGGAAAGAAGTTGAGTCATTGCATGACAATGTGAGTTCAAACTCCGTCAATAACTAATCTAACAAAATATATCGTTAAACAAAAAAATTTATTTTTGGTTTTTTTATTAGCACTCCACATAATATTGAATGCACCCCATATTAAAATTTAATATTAAATGACTTGTGTTCCCTAATGTGGAATGACAATTTCAACCTTACTAGATTCTAAATACACCCAAAATCACTTAATGTATTATTTATCTTCTTTAACTATCAAAACTCATTTCCACCTTCCGTTGTTAAATAAAACCCTAACTAACGAAACTACAACATGTTGCTTGAGAAAAATTATTTTTGACGAATGGAACACAAAATCGATGTTCAGAAGTTTCACATGAGGTAAACCGAAAGTGTGAGAGAATCATTTGGAGAATACATCTCGAGAAAATGACAAGTATTGACGAATATTATATATTGAAATAGAGCCAAATAATCTGGTCTTTTCAGCCATATATACTGGTTAAATTGGGAACACAATGGCACAATAACATACCTAAAAAAGATGACAAAAGTAGAAGAAGAAAGATTTCCAATCAGAATTATGAAATCTTTGTTAATAGAAAAATAACACACAAGCTTAGACAAATGAAAATGGACGCACTTTAAAGAATGTAATCCTCCCTCCTGGACAGAGAGCCTTTAAGATATTTACAGGTCCATACATCTTATAATTTACCCACAAATTTGGAGGAACGATTCAATCTCATTTTCTGCCCCATGGAAAGCAGCAACTCTGCAAAATTTCTGTCCAAAAAAGAAAATGAAATGAAATATAAAAACTAGTGTTTGTATGAATATGTGGGGTGTATAGAGAATGTGGGGGTGTATATAGAAAATGTAAGGTGTATGTTGAGAATGTGGGGTGTGAGGGTATTATGAGGAAGTTTATGGGGTGTATTTATATAATTTTTAATTGAAAAAGCAAATGTAGGGTGTATTAAGTGTGTGAGGTTTATTCAACAATTTGTGAGGTGTTAATATAATAAGCCTTTTTTTTTTTTACCATTTTTAATTTACTTTTGCCTTAAAGAACAAAAATTAAACGGTAAAATTATTATTTTGTAACTTTTTGCAATTCCATTAAAAAATCTAGGGTTAATCTCAGTTTACTACCTTGAAGTTTCGTGGTTTTCAACATTTGGTATATGAAGTTTTTTTCATCCCAAAGTCATACCTCAAGTCTTAATTTTAGGATTGTTTCATACATCCGTTAAGTTAGTTGTTAACCCGTTAACTGATGATGTGGTGTCCATGTGGACAATGATTGTGCATCATGTGTCAATATAGGCCCATGTAGATATTAAAAATTTAAAAAAATTAAAAACTTAAAAAAAATATAAATAAAGGTAAAAAAACTAAACAAATAAAAAATGATCTAGGAATGCGGGCCTTCCCTTTCCTCCACCCACACCAACCCTTTTTCTTTTTCTCTTCGACAACCACCTGATCTGAAAATCATGGAAAGGCTTCTGTCCTTTTCACCCCAAGCCCTTTGAAACTCCATCTAAAACCCTCTCCTTTCCTCAGTTGACTCACCCGTATTGACTAAGCCAAACTCGGTTTTCCCGATTTACAACTACCCAATCTCAGATGGGTCCGCTTGAGGACAATGATTGGGTTAATCTCTTCATATCTTTAATTCAAAGCCCCACCACTATGCGTTTTTGCTTGTGGCGCTGCTATGACAAGTCCATAGTTGCCAAAACGTGGAACTGAGGAAAAGCCCAAAAAAATTGGGGGTTGGAGAATAATTTGTGGGTTTTACAGATATGCTACTGGGTTTTATGGAATTTGTGAACTTTTAGGGGTTTTAGAGAAAGAGAGAGAAATAGAGAGAGAAAGAAAGAGAGAAGAAAGAGAGAGAGAGAGTATAAGAGCGGCTGATGGTGGATGAGGTGTGGAATGGGTAAGGCTGGTGGTGATGGTTGATTAAAGGCTGGTTTGATACTGCTGTGCTTTGAAAAAAAAAAAACTACTTATGTTGTGTTGTGAGAATAAGCAGATGTGAAATAAAGCAGCAGAGTGTTTGGTAAACTTTTTTGTAAAAGTGATTTTGAAAAAAAAAAAGCAGTATTATAGTGTTTGGTAAACTTTTATGTAAAACAGATGTGAAAATAGCCGATTTTTCAAAACTGGGTTTTGTAGCTTCTTGTTTTTGGCTTTTATTTTCATCCAAAATTGTGAAAAAAAGCTGAAGCTGAATGTTTACCAAACATAAAAACAGCTCTCAGCTTTTTTTGATACCAACTTTTTTTTTCAGAATCACCTCAGTACCAAACCAGGCCTAAGAGGTGTGATTAGTAGGGATTTTGGCAAGAAGAAGAATTGGGGTGACTGAAATAATTGGAGAGAGTGAGTCAAACAGAAAGGATAAGAGAAAAAGATTATTTTTTTTAATATTTATGTGGGCTCATATTGACACGTGACGCATAGTCATTGTCCACATGGGCACTAAGTCATCAGTTAACGACTGACTTAATAGTTAATTTAACGGATGTATGAAACTGTCACAAAATTAAAACTTGAGGTATGACTCTGGGATGAAAAAAAACTTCATGTACCAAATGTGGAAAACCACGAAACTTCAGGGTAGTAAACTGAGATTAACCCAAAAATCTAATTTCTTCCACTAACAGAATTCGATGCATTTCCCTTCCCGTCTTTTCTCACTATGCAAAACCGACTCTTTTTTTCATTCAATCTCTCTCTCCCTCCCTTTTCCTTCCACAACTTCATCAATTGCAAATCTTCAAAATCAAACCATAGAGCAAGAAAGAGATTCAAAATTTAAGAGTTGGGAGCCGGTTGCATGTGTGATTGGCTCAAGGGTAGGAGATAGGGGTTGGATCTGGTTGGGTGCATGTGTAATTGAAAATTTCAAACTCATCCCATTGTAGGATTGTTTCTTTTTTTTCTTTTGTTTTTTGGGTTTTCTGGGATCCTGGTTTGAATTTTGGGGCTGGATCTGGTTTTGAAAATGGAACGATTGTAGATTTTTATGCTATTTTGTTTCGATTTTGCCAGATTTGGGCTTGAAAATGGTTGTAGTTGCAGAGGCTCCACGGAGGGATTATGAAGCCTTTTCTCATGGCTTCGCAAGTACAATAAGAAGAAGATGATTTGTAGAAAGTGCTATACTGTCTGCATCCAAAGGCATTGAACTGTAGGAAGAAGAAGTGTGGGACGATGCGAGCAGGTTTTCTAGGACCCTAGCTAAGAACCTCTAGGGACATCCTCACAGTTGGACGACGGAAATAAATTGAAATTTGAATAAAAGTTAGAATTTATAAATTAACATGCAACAATTTTTTTACTTAGATTCATAAATATAGAAAATTAATTTCCGTGTGGAAAAATAATTGAAATTTGAGACCATCAACTCTCAAGTTTAAATTTCATGCAAATATATGTCATTTCTTAATTTATATGATTGAGAGTTTAAAAATACAAATTTCGTATTCAATTCTATTGTTCTTTTAGGTTAATCAAACAAGACAATTCACAAATTCTAAAAAATAAAATTCAGTCATTTTACTTTCCGTCATTTTCAAATTTCTTAGTAATCTTAAATTTTGTCATCCAAACATAGTATTAATCTAGGCGTGTCATGCTTCATCTTATTAATGTTAGTCTTGCTTAATCTCGTTAATGTTAGTTCCGCATGATAACAAATGTTGGACTACAATAACAATTAGTAAAGGCTAACCTAACGAAACTTAGAGAAGCCAAACAAACGGCCTCCCCCGTTATTGAAAAACGACTAGTTACAAAGAATTCAATTTGAACCTTCCAATCTTTTGTAAAGAAATATAAAAAAGAAAAGAAGCCTTTGTCTAAGAAACAAAAAAAGTCTTTGGTTGTGATGATGGTAAAGAACATAGAGGTTGAAATAAAGTGAGAAAGAAAATAAATTAACTTAATCAAAGAATGGATAAACAACAAATGTAACATATTATTCTGGACTTTTATGGGTGTGTTTGTTTGGACTCATTATCTTTCACTGGACTAGATTGGACTAAGTTTTAGTCCAGTCTTGTGTTTGTTTCCTACTTAGACTAAGTTTAGTGGGATTAGCAAGGACTCACCTCGACTGAGTCCCTCGCTAACAGGTCTTAGCGAGACCTCCCGATTCAGAGAAGACTGCTAAGTCGCTCTCTAATCTCGTCATCTCCCTTCTCCTTTGTACCTTCACACATCAACCGCAACAACTACAGCTTACTCCCTCGTTGCCTTCGCACCTTCACCCTTTCCCTTTTCCTTGCTTATTGCACCACCTTGTAGCCATACAACATATAAAAAATCGATGACAAACCTGTATTGCTGGCGATGGTCTTTGTTTGGTGCTTTTTGCTGCGTCGTGAAATCAGAGTCCCAACAACAGAAGGAAAAGAAGATGAATAAGTCTGCGTTGGACTTCGGTGCCCTACTTTCTGATTTCTAAATTCGTTTGGATTTTTTGGTTTTTCATGTCGATCTCTATTGAATTGTAGTTGGGTTAAGATGCTTGACGGACTCAGAGGTGTTTGAACTCTAAATACCTTTTCTACATAATATTGATTTCTTAATTTTCATTTGCTGGGTTAATGGACTGGATTGCCATCTTACTATGTGTAATTTAGATTTTGCTTCATTTGAA